CACCACCACCATCACTACCACCACCGCCGTGACCACCACCATCACCATCACCACCACCACGACCACCGTCATCACCATCACCACCACCACCACCATCATGACCATCATCACCATCACCACCACCATCACCACCACCATGACCACCATCATCACCACCACCATCACTCCCACCACCACAATCTCCATCACCATCACCACCACTGTCACCACCACCATCACCACCGTCACCATCACCACCACTGTCACCATCACCACCACTGTCACCACCACCATCACTCCCACCACCACCATCACCACCACTGTCACCACCACCACCATCACCACCACCACCATCACCACTGCTACTACAACTGCTGCTGCCATTGCTAAAACAAAAACTGATTTTCTTCAGGCTTTAAGTGGTTTATCTGCTGAGAACAGAGAGTGCTCCTGGACTGAGGAGACTGTTGTGGCACAGTGGTAGTGTCCCTACCTATGAGCCAGAAGTCCCATGTTCAAGTCCCAACAGCTCCAGAAGTTTGTAACAACATCTCTGAACTGGATGATTAGGAAAATGTCTTAAAAAAAAAACTTCCAAATGATTTTCAAGGGTGTCCTCTGAGTAGTTACATGAATTTTTAAACATTATCTAAGGGGCAGGTTGTTTCAAGTGGATGTGAGAAATTTTTATTTCGCCCAGAGGGTGCTGTGAATCTGGAACTCACTGCCTATAAGGGTGTTAGAGGCAGAAATCCTCACAACATTGAAGAACAATTTAGATGTGGATTTGCAATGCCAAGGTACACCAGGCTATGAGCCAAGTGTGGAAAATGGGATTAGAATAGTGAGGTGGTTGTTTTCCACTGGCACAAACATAATGGGCCAAAAAGCCTTTTTCTGTGTTGTCTTTTACGACTATGAAATTATGACCCTGAAGGCCCCTGTCTATCTTATTCACTGTTCAGATACATAGCAATCATATGGTTGTTGACAGGCAGTAGACTTTTGTCATTGTTAATTGGTCACTTGTCCACAGACCAATCAACTCCTTGTTTCCAGCTGAATTTCCATTTGGACACACCCTTTGGCTCCAGCTTGTTCACAAACCATCCAAGACTGCCTGAACTGGCAGCTGTGTAAGCAAAGAGGTTCCTTGCTTCCCAAACACTGAAGAAATCTTTCAACAATCCTTCATTTCAGTCCACAATCAAGAAAACAGGAAAATAAAAAAGACACAGTCACTACAGTTCTGACAACAGTTCAGAAAAGGACAGCAGCTCATTGGCTGCAAGCAGCTTTAGAATGTCTCGATGTTGTGAAAAGTGCTATATAAACGTGGAACTCTATGTTGCTTTAGGGTTGAATGGCAGCAATGTCAGAGTGTTGGTGAAGGTGCAGAGTGTGGACAAGACTCCAGACAAAGCCTTCCTCAGGGAGGTCAGCATTCGTAAAGCTCTTCAACATAACCAACTGGTCCAGCTTCTTGCGGTGGTGACACAATCACAGCCCATGCTCATCATCACCGAATTCATGAGCCAAGGTAATGGTGAAGTCTGGTGCGGTCGTTGGGAACTCCCACTAACTATTGCCAACATGCACGCCTCAGTACTAAAACAATCCAAACTGAACTGAATGATTTATTGTGATATGTATTTCAAAAAAAATCTTTGAAAGTGTTAAGTGTCACCACGCTCAGCGCCATTTTGAATTACTGCTTCCCTGCTTCCTGTAAAGACCCTATTCCATTGTCCCAGTTCCTGAATCTTCATCGCATCTGCTCTGATAATGCCAACTTCAATAAGGGAGCCTCCAAAATGTCCACCTTCTTCCTCGATTGAGGGTTCCTCAGCATGTAGTTGACAGGGTCCTCAGTCAGGTCCAACCCATCTCCCACACTTCCGCCCTCACCTCCTCTCTTCCTTCCCACAACATTGATAGGGTCCCTCTTCTCCTCACCTACCATCCCACCAGCATCCACATCCAGAAGATCACTATCCGTCATTTCTGCCAGCTCCAGCAAGATGCCACCACCAGATACATATTCCCCTCCCCTCCCTTAGGACTGTTCCCTCCAGGACACCCTGGTCCATTCTTCCTCACAGTCCCATGGCACCTTCCCCTGCAACCGCAGAAGATGCAACACCTGCCCATTTACTTCCTCCCTCCTCAGTATCCAAGGGCCTAAACACATCTTCCAGGTGAAGCAGCACTTTACCTGCACTTCCCACAATTTAATCTACTGCATTCGCTGCTCACAATGTAGTCTCCTCTACATTGGGGAAATGAAGCGTAGACTGGGTGATCACTTCACAGAACATCTACGTTCTACCTGCAAAAAAGACCCTGAGCTTCCAGTTGCCTGCCACTTTAACGCACCACCCTGTTCCCTGGCCAACATCTCTATCTCAGGCTTGCTGCAGTGTTCCAGTGAAGCTCAGTGCAAGCTGTAAGAACAGCACCTCATTTTCCACCTGGGGACCCTGTAGCCTTCTGGACATAATATTGAATTCAATAACTTTAAGGTTTGAGCTTTCCCATGTCTTTATCCTAACCCCCACAACCAGGCTTTGTTATCACAATCTGCCATTACACACTACCTAATGTTAGTCACTAACTGTCCCCATTAACAGCTATTCATCCTCCCAGCCAGGTCATTATCCACTTCTTTGTCTGTCCAACTGCTCTTCTCTCTCTTTGGGGTCTATTCCCACCTATTGTTTACTCCCTAACCCCTCCCCACACCCCATCTTCTGCATAAAATCTGACAATTTCGTAGCTCCCTTCAGTTCTGAGGAAGGGTCACTGGACCCAAAACATTAACTCTGATTTCTCTCCACAGATGCTGCCAGACTTTGAGAGATTTTCCAGCAATTTCTGTTTTTGTTTCTGAATTAAAGCATCTGCAGTTCTTTCGGTTTTTATTTTGGGTGGTTGTGGTATGGTTTGATAGAAATTTTCAAGATATTAAGGTGAACAGATAATGTTGATAGAGACAAACTCTTTCAACTGGTTGGAAAGTCTAAGACAAAGGGGCACAACTTAAAAACTTGAGACACTTTAAATAACTGATCTGTTTTTTGCTCCTGAAGGGAATCTGAACAGTTACTTGAGGAGTGACTTTTGTAGGCAGTTAGAACTGGTGCTGCTGATCGACTTTGCTGTACAGGTATGTGTACCTGAGTGAGGGGTTGCTTTATTCGAGTTAACAGGACATGGTTCGCAAACATATTCTTGTACGGACCACTGCATTGGGGCGAAAGACCTTTCCATCCACTTCCCAGTCCTTCCCCATCCACTTTCACTTGTCACTGCAAACAACTTCTTGCATTTAAGGGGAACTTATAGAAACTGTACATGATTTGCTGCTTTTTCATTCCTAAATAAAATAAATGTATGTGTATTAATCTTTTTCATTAAATTTCACGCGGGAATTAATGATTCATTCTCCACAAACTTCCACTCTCTCCCCCACCAACGCTCAGTAGCAGCAGTGTGTACTATCTACAAGACACACCGCAGAAATTCACCAAACATCCTCAGACAGCACCTTTCAAACTCAGAGCCACTTCCATTCAGAAGGACAAGGGCAGCAGATATATGGGAACACCATCCCCTGCAAGTTCCCCTCCAAGCCACTCACTATCCTGACTTGGAAATATATCGCCGGTCCTTCACTGTTGCTGGGTCACAATCCTGGAATCCTCTCCATCAGGGCATTGTGAGTGAACCTACAGCACATGGACTGCAGTGGTTCAAGAAAGCTGCTAACCCCCACCTTCTCAAGGGGCAGCTAGGGATGGGCAATAAATTCTGGCCTGGCCAGTGATGCCCACATCACATTAATTAATTTTCTTAAAAATTCAAGGAATGAAAGTATAAACACTTACATTTTGTAAACATAATTATAACAGAGACATTTATTTGAAACATTCTAAAATGTCATTAAATTATCACAGTAATTCTGTTCTGACGAACTATCACTCATTTCACATCGATTTCAATCAAACAAGATCAGCAGCATCACAATTCCCACTTTAAACGACATTGCTGTTCTTCACAGTTACATTAACTCAGGCTGGGTACACGGGATCTGGTCTGGTGTGTGATGAAGTGACCGTGGAGGGAGGTAAGGGATCTGCTGATCCTCAGTTGTGACGTTGCTGGGTCAGTGACTTGTATTTAGGAGCAGCCCCCCCACAGAGCAGCTGGAGGGCCCCTTGGGAACCACACTGAGATAGAGTGAAATTGGACACTGTGGGAGTAAATCAACTTGCGGTGAACTGGATAACAATCATCTGTGTTTCTGCAGGTTTTGGATGGAATGCTTTACATGGAAGAGAATGGGTATGTGCACAGGGACCTGAGATCCGCAAACATTCTTCTAACTGGTAACCTGGTGTGCAAAATTGGAGATTTCAGCCTCGCTCAGAAACTGAAAGAACAGAGATACATCATCCTGAAAGGTACATGTGACTGAAGGTTCAGTGTTGAGACCATGTCTTTCCTGGCTGGGGAGTCAAAAACACAGGGTCATTGACACAGAATGAGGTGGGGATGGCCAATTCAGACTGAGATGAGGGAGAAATGTCTTCTCTCCAAGGGTGGTGAATCTTTGAGGAACCACAGCCCTCAGAGAATACCAATCACTGAGTATGTCCAAGTCAGAGATTGATAAATTTTAGGGTATTGAGGCAATGAAGAGGATAGTCAGGTGGTGGGACTCCGGTAGAGGTTGAGCCATGTTCTGGTGGAGCAGGATCAAGTGGCTGAGTGATCACCTCCTGCTCTTCAGTTCTGTGTTTCTATGGAAACCCTGGAAGATAATTTGGGTAATAAAGTACAAAGAGCAATGGGAATGTATCTAATACACGGTCGAACTCTGCAAATCACAAAGCTCCAGGATTTATCTCCACTCTGTGCTGAGCAAATGGACCTCATTCAGGGATTGTGTAGAATCATAGAATCCCTATTGTGCCAGTAGAGGCCATTCAGCTCATCACGTCTGTGCTGACCCTCTGAACAGCATTCCACACAGACTGCACTCCCTGCTATCCCCGTTATCCTGCGTTAACTATGACCAATTCACCTAGCCTGCACATCTTTGGACTGTGGGAGGAAACCGGAGCACCCAGAGGAAACCCACGCAGACACGGGGAGAATGTGCAAACTCCCCACACAGTTGCCCAAGGGCGGAGTTGAACCTGGGTCCCTGGCGCTGTGAGGCAGCAGCGTTGACCACTGAGCCACCATAAAAAGGCTGATTTAACCTCAACACCCTCTGGGTGGGCAGAGTAAGAAGCATTGTATTTCAAATTGCCCATTACTTCTCTTAGAAAGAACCCATGTATAGATGTCAGCAAATGTATCGTCAAGATGTGAAGTCAAATAGTCAACTGCCATTGTGTAGCCAGGGTGACAATACTAACCTGACCTTGCTCAGACATGGCTCAATGGTTTGCTCACTGACTTCAGTCAGAAACGTGTAGCTTCGCTCCCAGTGCAGTGCTGAAAGAATGCTACATTGTCAGAAGAGCTAGGTTTTTGAATGAGATGTTAAACTGAGGCCCTATCTGCCCTCTTAAGTAAATACAAATGATCTTATTAACATTGTTTTGAAGATGAGCAGGGCAGTTTTTTTTTTCTCCAGAGTCACTATTTATCCCTAAAGTAACATCACTGAGTTCAGATTATCTATTAATTTGTCACAAAACAGTTTTAGGGATGTTGCTGCTACATTCTGATGTTGCAAGAAGTGGTGACATTTCAGAGGATGTCACACATCCCCACTGATTTATGGGAGAGCCAGCTCGTTCCTGGCCAAAATGAAGCCAGCTAGCTCAGGAAGGGACTGAGCACATTGAGAAATTCCATCGGGGTGTGCAGAGAACATATTGAGCTATCAGAAGGAGCATGCAAACCTCCCGTCTCTCTGAGCCTTCGAGTACCATGTGCTCTGCATATAAAAAAAATGTGCAGATTGGCATGGGTGGCACAGTGGCTCAGTGGTGAGATTGCTGCCTCACAGCGCCAGGGACCCTGGTTCGATTCCACCCTCGGGCAACTGTGTGGGGAGTTTGCACATTCTCCCTGTGTCTGTGTGGGTTTTCTCCAGGTGCTCCAGTTTCATCCCACAGGCCAAAGATGTGCAGTTTAGGTGGATTGACCATGCTAAACTGCCCTTAGTGTCCAGGGATGTCCAGGTTGGGTGGGTTAGCCATGGGAGATGCAGGGTTACAGGGATAGGGTGGGGGGCATGGGTCTGGGTGGGATGCTCTTTGGAGAGTCAGTGTATTATTGATGGCCCAAATTGCCTGCTTCCACACTGTCGGGATTCTATGATCTCAGCACCATCAAACAGGAATGCAAGTCAATCTTAAAGTTGCCCGAGAAAGCAAAGGCTCTTCAAAAATAATTAAGCTGTTAAGGGGTTGTAGAAATGCAATTGTTTGCTTCCTTTCATATGACCCTCAATCTGCATTTTAAATTGGCCCTCAGGAGGGTTGGGGAGGAGACATTATCAAGGCAATAATCTAATTTACCTAAAACAATGGGTATTGACCTACCATCCAACATCTAGCAATTTTTACCCACATGGCTGTCAGTCTCAGTCCATGCACCATCACGCAGGCCATTTCTAAAATCTAAGAATCTTGTAAAGGCGGCTATTCAGTCCATCATACCTGCGTCAGCTCTTTGAAAGAGCTGTCCAATTAATCCCAATGCTTTTGTGCTTCCAGATGAAAAGGTTGCAGTTAAATGGACTGCACCTGAAGTCTTCAGAGAGGAAATACACACCACAAAATCTGACATCTGGTCCTTTGGGATTTTCTTGATGGAACTGGTCACTTTTGGACAGACACCATACCCAGGTGAGTGCCACCTTTAACACAAGGAACCAATCATCGTGTGTGGGGAAAATGTTGAACTGACGATTACAGGCTGACAATATCCATTATCATTTACAACAGCCATTGATACAACCATGTCTTTGGACTGGACTCACTTCTGATTGGGAGCTGGATAAAGCTGCTGACTCCCTTCAAAAATCCACAGTGACTCATGTGTGTTCATACAACTCCAGCTGATGCAGTCTGGGTGTCAACTGACCAGCCCTTTACCAATTCATTGAGTAAAATCAACTGATTAGGAAAACAAAAACATTGGGAATGGAGTGGTGTGAGATCATAGACTCCTGAACTGCACAGCAGATAGATAACTTCCATCAGAGACCAACAAAAATAGGGGTTAGTGTAATTGAATTGCCCAGATTCTGGAGCTAAAATGCAAAGATGCAGAAATTATTTTCAAAGTATTGGTTAGACTTCGCCTGGAGTCACCACCTTCAGTCCTGGGTGTCCAATGTCATGAAAGATAAAACCGGAAAATGCTGGAGAAATTCAGCCAGGTCGGGCAGTATCTGTAGAGAGTAAAGCAGAGATGTTTTGAGTCCACTGATCCTTCTTCAAAACTCACATGCTCACGTTGCAGATGCAGCAGGCAGTGAAGAAGGCAAACGGTACGTTGGCCTTCATAGCAAGAGGATTTGAGTACAGAAGCAGGGATATCTTGTTGCAATTATACAGGACTGACATATGGACAGACTGGATTGTTTAGGACTGTACCCACTTGAGTTTAGAAGAATGAGGGGATTTCATAAAAACCTATGAAATTCAAACAGGATGAGACAGGGTAAGCACAGGAAGGATGTTGCTGATGGCCAGGGACCCCAGATCCAGGGCTCATGGTCGAAGGATACAAGGTAGGCCATGCAGCATTGAGATGAGGAGAAATATCTTCACCCAGAGAGTGGAATTCTCTATGGAATTCTCTACCACAGAAAATGGTTCAGGTGAAAACATTGCAAATTTTCGGTGACCAGTGGTGTTCCGCAGGGATCTGTCCTGGGACCTCTGCTCTTTGTGATCTTTATCAATGACTTGGATGAGGAAGTGGAAGGGTAGGTTAGTACGTTTGCTGATGACACGAACATTGGTGGAGTTGTGGACAGCGTGGAGGGCTGTTGTAGGTTGTGACAGGACATTGACAGGATGCAGAGCTGTGCAAAGAAATGGCAGATGGAATTCAACCTGGAAAAGTGTGAAGTGCTTAATTTCGGAAGGTCGAATTTGAATTCAGAATACAGGGTTAATGGTAGGATTCTTGGGAATGTGGAGGAACAGAGGGATCTTGGGGTCCACGTCCATAGATCCCTCAAAGGTGCTACCCAAGTGGATAGAGTTGTTAAGAAGGCGTATGGTGTGTTGGCTTTCATTAGCAGGGGGTTGAGTTTAAGAGCTGTGAGGTTATGCTTCAGCTCTATAAAACCCTAGTTAGACCACATTTGAAATATTGTATTCAGAGATAGTAAGAACTGCAGATGCTGGAGAATCCGAGACAACAAGGTGCAGAGCTGGATGAACACAGCAGGCCAAGCAGCATCA